AATGAAGGGAAATTCACAACACATGTTACACATCCCAAATACCTGCAGAATATTGAATTAGCATATGCAGTACTGCAATATTTTATATTATCATTTGGATCCAATAAGCCAAAACAAACAACTAATGGGTTGAATTTCCCTTTCGTCAAACAATAATGAAAACTTCAATAATGTAGTTGACAATCACACATTTTTTCCACAAACTCACCTCCACCAGGTCTGGCTGTTGTTCCTTGCATTTATTTAAATTTAAAGGCCCTGTTGGTGACCTCTTTATCTTAACAGGAGACCATCAATCACCTTGTCTCATTTATTGGCCCTCCAGGGATGAACTTCTTATTACAAGAGCTAGGATTGACTTTGAATTTAAGTTTTGCTCCTATTGCACAACTTGCTTCATTCAATTATTAGAGTATCTTCCTTGAGATTTCCGTAGTTTGTTACACAATCTCCCAATATACCAAAGTAACTTATAGGAGTGCCCTAATCATGGGCATTTTTTAGACATAATCATGTGATACCATGATTCCTGCATTGGGTTAAGTTATCCAATCCACTTATTGAAAATCTTCAAAGAATTACTTTATCACCATTGGTTGTAGTTTCAGATATTACTCAAGAAGATAATTACTTTCCCAAATCACTACTTTAGTTGATTATCTGTCTCAAGATTCCAATATAAACTTTTAATTTAGAATTTAAACTTCTTTCCACTCAAGACATCCTCTCAAGAGGTTATTAGTCAACAAGATTGCCACGTAGTAATGACGCATAATATTGTCTATGACAACGAGTGAATTCTAATTATTGTATGGCTATAGAGTGTGTTTCATCAATCTGTTGTTTTTTTTATATATATAAAGATAATAGTTAGTAGATTAATATTATTAAATACTAACAACTGAAGATTTAATTTTCAAATCTGATCAACAATCCATTGACCTCAATGAGGCCCGCGGCCGTTTCATCAATCTGTTGTTTTTTTTATATATATAAAGATAATAGTTAGTAGATTAATAATTTTTTTTTTTGATGAATCAAAAGTGTTATTAATAAAAGAGTACAAGGGGTACTCACCCATACATTACATTAAAAGTTCAATAAGTTAAAAATCAACTGCACAATGGAGTGGGAATTGACACCGGTCTACGAAATTGATATTATTAAATACTAACAATTGAAGATTTAATTTTCAAATCTGAACAACAATCCATTGACCTCAATGAGGCCCGCGGCCGTTTGTTTCATCAATCTGTTTATTTCACATATTAGGTGGTCGGGATTTGTCAAAAGAGCACGGAACTTTTAGATAAGGTGATAATAATTGCTGATAGGTGGTACTGAAGCAGGTAGTGAGTCCTCAGAATATGGTTACTGGCTAAAATTGGTAGCAGGTGTATTTTTTTTTTTTAAAGGTGTTTTTTTTTTTTGTTCTTTTGTTTTTGTTTTTATCTACATGAACTCTACCTCTACTGCGATTGGGGAATAATGTTGGTGGTTCACAACAATTTAATTCATTATCAATTGCTTCATCAAAGTAAAAGGAATTTGATTCCATTCTTTTTACCCAAAACTGATTTTTCCCCAAATTCGTTCCTTCAACCTTATTATTTTCTTATAGCTGTGTTAGAGTGTGGCTTCAACCAATGTTTAAGTATTGCTATTGTAAAAATCCCCTTTCCCCAAAAATTCTCCATTGTGATTTCGACTTAATTTGCTCTCCATCATCTATACCATTCCTCCTGGCTGGGTAAGTTCCTTTCCTCTCTGTCTCCATCTGTACCCAGCCATGTTGTTCCTTCTTTTTCACCAAAAAAAGCAATCCAGAAACTTCTAGTGAAGTGATGTTAACGCAGCCCCTTGTGCCATAAAAGTTGATTTATTGGTCATGTCTCTATATTATTCTTTCTCCTGGAAAAAAAGAATGGAAGGGAAGAAAAGAATGAAAAAGGAATGGACCATCTTACTTGGGGAATCACGTGGAGTACCTTTTACAATACTCATCGAAAATGTCTTGAGCAAGAGTTTGTGCCATAGAAACAAATTGTGATGATAATAATAATGCCTTTGCTACAATCAAGTTTGAGCGCTTTGATGGTCAAACCACTCACGTTCAATCATTCTAACACAAATATAAAAAGGAACTTTCCTACTTCTGTGTTGCATGATGATAGGCAGAAACTGTGCAAAAAGTGCCTTTCCTTTTAGTTCTTTGATTCCCTTTTCCCCTCAGTTGATAAAAAGGAATCATACCATTAGCAAAGAATTCAAAAGAATAGTATCATCCCGAATTAATAACAATGAGTGCTAAATGACTTTGTTTTCGATTGAATTGAAGAAAAAGGTGAATTTAAGATTTTGTTTGATTTGGATGTTGCAATGCCAAAACTTATTGTAGGAAAACCGAACGTCAATCAACAATTTGTTCCAATTAACCAAACCAAGCATCTTTTAGCTCGACATGTACGGAATAATTAAAGAAAATAGCTAAACGATTGGGTATATATCACCAAACAATAACGCAAAGCTACATTGGAAAACGACATTCTTGGGAGGGAGTAGGGGATTTTAATCTACTGAGTACTGACTTAATTTTTTGTTTAGATGGGGTTGTTGGGTTTTGTCTGTTTCCTGTACAAAACCGCGACAAAGTCAAAATGAAGAAAAATAAATGAAACAAGAGGGTGGGAGTTCCCAGCTTTATTGAGGCTCAAATTTCATCATTTGGAGAGTCTCCAAAATTGTACACCCACTAAGTTGTTTCCATAAGTGCATGTGTATTGAAACAAAGAGATTTGGTTGTTAAAGGGATTTTGATTTGGTGCTAATGACCCATCAAGAAGCAAACTGATTGTTGATTTGGTCAAGCATTCTGGTTACGGTTATGAGCATTATTAATATTGTTAGAGCTATCAAAATAAATAAATTTTTATTTTAATTTGATTGTAAAAAATAATTAATAATTAATGATTAATAAATTAATTAATATTTATTATTTAATAAATTAAAATCAATTTATAAATAAATATTTTCAAATATCATAATCAATTATTTATAAAAAAAATTATAAACAAATAAAATTACAATCAAAATTAGTAATCTTAACAAAATCGTTGGTGGTCATATATAACTTCATCAAAGCATTCTCTACTAATGCAAAGATAATGTATTTTAGAAACTTTAGGTTTGTTTGATTAAATGTCTAACTTTATAAAAAAGAAAAGTTTTTATTAAAAAAGTGGTTAGAGAAGTATTTTATGAAAAGTTGATAAATTTTATTAGAATTTTATTAGATTATTAACCTCTTTATATTTGATAAAAAAATTAATACATGAAAAATTGATAAAAAGTTATTAAGCAGATCTTACATTTGTAAAGTTAGGGGAAATTTTTTCTTTTCAAAAAGTGTAAAAAATATATATATTTATAGCCTAAGAATTATATTAAAAAAAATAAAAACTAAAAAGCTCACTTTTATTCTCTTTTTATTATAACATTAATGTATAAAAATATATAAATAATTTTATAAGAAAATTAAAAAAATTCAAAGAAAAAAGTTTCTTCCCAACTAAACTGCGAATAAAATAAAAAAAAAAAAACCATTTTTGAGTTGCATAGGAATCTTCAGAAACTGATGATGGGGTTAAGCGCACACAGACTCATCCACTCGGTAGCAAGAACAGCCTTTACAGGAGCATTGTTTTATGAGAAAGGGAGTTAAATATAATTTATTTATTAACTTAACCAATTATTTATTTCATTGATGAGGACGCATTCTACACGTAGGAGAAATCCTATCTTTCCAGTTCAGTCAGCAGTTGTATGTATTAAACTAGATTTCTCTTTTTAATTTAATTATTAAAATAGATTATACGTTGAGCAAAAAGATTTATAAAATTGAAACTTGATTAGCATAAATTTTTACGAAAATTGTCATCTTAGATCATCTCGTAGGTAGTTAGTCGGAAGTCCCAATCCGTACTGTAAAAGAGAAATTTATAAATAATTACTTTTTTATAATTTATACAATCTACATAAAAATAAATGCTTGCGATTGGCTAGCAAATCGTCATGAATAGATTTTAAAATTAAGTTCAACAGTTAATTAATTGGTTGTCAATCAGTATTAAAAAAATTAGTTAATTTAATTTTTTTTAATCTTAAATTATACTATATAATAGAAGTAATACTTTTTTTTTTTCAAACACATCCTAATAACATGATATTTAATTTAAGTTTAAATTATTTTATTTTTAAAAAAGTATTATCATTGACAATACTATTTACACAATAAAAATCCCACTTGCCAAAACATAAAAAATTGATTATGGAAAACCCAGAAAGGCAATGATGCAACGTTGGATGCATAATTCTCTGCATTTGATGAATATAACACAGAGATAAAGAGGTTTTATTGGATGGAAGAGGAACTTAATTATACTTAACCTTCTCAATCTCACACGTATAGTTGTGGACTTGAAGCAAATTTTTAATCTAGATCCACCGACTAGGGGCCATGGGCATGGCCCATCCCTTCAATTATTAACTTTAAAAAAATAGGAAAAGGTAATTTAAATGTTAATCTTGGCACTCCTTTTCTTCAACACACAATCAAATCATATTTATATTTTAATTGAAAATTTTGTGACCAGAAACCTTGTTCCCTTCCTACCCTTGGAAGTAAACAAAATTTACATCCGACCCATGCATATCTTCCTTACATTTCACCCTAGGGTAAGAATTGAAGGTGTGCAATTAATATTTTCAAACTTGAATGGTCTATAATCTCAATGTGAACTCTACGACCAAACAAAAACGAAAATCTCAATCAACTTGATGGGATTGAGAGCTGGCTATAGCTGCTAGCTAGGAATGACATCTTAATTTGGGCACAAGCAATATATATGAGTTGTGACTAATGGCTCGTTCTTGTTTAGTGACATTGGATCTTGTGTTAGGTTCATTCATCTTTTGTGGGTGACATGTTCTAACTTTATGAAACTTATTTTCTTCTCTCTCATATATACTTGTAAATAATGTTAAAATTATTCAAATATATATATATATGAGTTGTGACGAAAGCAAAGTGAAAATGGCCTAATTGGTTGCCTGGCCATAACCTTATGGCGAGACAAAATGCTTGGTTCAATTAGGTGGTATTGCATGTCTCCTTATTATGCTGTCATGCATGAATCATGATTGCTTGTAACAATGTTATCTTTCGGTTGCTTTAAAGACCTGTGCTGACAGGTTGTGAACATGCAAGTTAGCATAGGATAGAGGCGAGCAACAAGATATTATTAAAATAATTACTACATTAGTAAAATCAATTTCAAAAGGGAAAAAGAAAATCAAATGGGAATGAATGAAACCAAGAATATTCTGGTGCATTCTAATCCTTGTTAATTAGTCAAAAAAAATATTATAATAAAAAGTGGGCATTTCAAGATTATTGGATCCCATATTCAAATATTACTTATTTTGTAATTTTATGTTTTTTTTTTTTTTTTTTTTTGTTTTTTATTAATAAAGGGTGACTACAAATGCCTATTTAATACGTTATCCTACTAATTTAAAGATGGTATAAACGAAAGCAATGTATAAATTAAATATATGCAAGTGACGGAGAAATAATTATTATTAATATTTATGAGAAAAATATATATCAATTCTGATTTTAAAATAAATTAGAAACTTAACATTAAATTATGTTATTTTATTTAATTTAAAATTTAAAAAT